ACAGACGTGAAGTCTGACGGGCTTGAACTGGTCACTCATGTCTGAAGCATGAGTAAGGGGTTTTTTACAACAGAATCAGGGAAGTAAGTGACACAGCTAACTGCATGTCCACTTTCAGTTAGAGAGAAACGCCTGAAAATATAAGATAACAACACACACACACACACATACTGCCTATATGAACGTTCTAGAATATTTACGTGTAACGTACGACCCATGTACAGGGCAGTCCCAGCCCGAGAAGATAAATGTGAATGATTTTTGATTATCGAGGCTCTTGGAAACTTGTCATCTCATAGAGCCCAGCGCTGTAATAACTCTGCATTTAACCAGAAGAAAATAAATCTACGTAAAGCTGATTCCTGTTTTCTGAGTGTTACTTTTTGGGGCCTTCAGATAAAAGAACCGGCTGTAGTTAAAAGTTTACTTTTCAAGAAAAAAGACTTTAATAGTGGTTACTATGAGGTTGGTTTTGCATTTGTGCATCCGGTTTGTTTGCCCGTCTCAGTTAAAATGTAACATGAAGTCATGTCTCACCTCTCTCTGATAAATGTGTTTGGGATTGTCTCAGTTCTAAATGGGGCAAGTATTACCTTTGTCTGACAGTATTTGCAAATTGTCAATTGCCTTTCCACCTGTCTCATTTCTTGAAGTGGGAAAACTGAAATGTTGCCACACATCAAGTCTAAAAGTCGATGATGGAATTGGTTCTTCCAGTTTCAAGTTCTGCAACTTCAATGCAGTTGCACTAGTTAAATAACCATTGGTATTACCCTGGTCGATACCATCACAGTCCCACCACAATATCGAGAAGTTATCACAAAATTACAAATATCATTACATAGTGTCAATTAATGGGGAACTGGAAAAATAGCAGGTCACCAGTCCCAGTAAAACAGGTCAAACAACAACGGTGAACTCAGGCCATTGGTTTAATAAAGTTGTTTACATGTTGGTCACTCTTGGTGGAAAGATTAATGAGATCCATGGAGGCTGAAGCAGTCTGATAAACACATATCACAGGCTCAAACAGTTCTTTTTCTGAGTTTTGCAGATGAGCAAACACTAAGAGTAATTCAAGGTCAAGTAACTGTAAGTAAGAGAATCCTCTGTTTGCGGGTACTGTATACCCGCATCATCAAATTCAAATTTCAGGCTTAAAGGTCAAACTTTTTTTTATTTTATTAATTTACTCTTATTATATAATCTGTTTAAATAATGGAGGAAGAATTAAATGTAACATATTTAATTTTTGGTGGACATGTGGAACTTAACACATACAGATATCTTTGTTTTGTGGTTGTTTTGGTAGTGTATATTCTGATATTCTGCAGTAATTCTACTATTGTGTACCTGATCTGGAAACACCAAGACCTCCATGAGCCCATGTACATTTTCATTGCAGCCTTGTTACTGAACTCTATTCTTTTCACCACTAATATCTACCCGAAGCTGTTGGTCGACTTTTTATCTGAAACCCAGATCATATCATATCGAGCCTGTCTTCTTCAATATTATATGTTTTATACTTTAGCTGGTTCAGAGTTCTTACTGTTGGCAGCCATGGCCTATGACAGATATGTGTCTATATGTAAACCTCTGCAATATCCAACTATCATGACAAAAAAAAGGATCAGTATCTTTCTGGCTTTATCTTGGCTATTGCCTGCTTGTCAGCTTGTGGGCTCAGCAACACTAAGTGCTAATCAAAAACTCTGTAGCTTTACTCTGAAAGTCATTTTTTGCAATAACTCCATTTACAAACTTCATTGTGTGTCTTCAAGAGCAATATCTTTGTATGGTGTGTTCGTTTTGCTAAATATTGCCGTTTTCCCTGTTCTCTTCATCCTTTTCACATACGTCAGGATACTTATAATATGTTATCACAGTAGTTCCGAAGTCAGGAGAAAAGCTGCACAGACCTGTGTTCCTCACCTGCTGGTTTTGATCAACTATTCTTTTTTATTAACTTATGATGTTATTACAGTTCGACTGGATTTAGATTTTCCAAAAACTGCACATTTGATAATGACTTTACAATTAGTTTTATATCATCCACTTTTCAATCCATTTATATATGGATTAAAAATGAAAGAAATTTCTAAACACCTTAAGCGGTTGTTAATAAAATAATTCCATCAACAGTGATAACTTCTTTTGAAATAATGATTCAGATATATGGGCTCTCTGATCCAGCTGCAGCTGTGCTCAGTTGAATATACATGTTAATGTTCAATTTTAAATGGAAGTCTGGGAAGGTTGGCACTTTGACTTATAGGCCTGCAGAATGTTTGCACTGCTAATGTCTACACAGTGGCTTAGACACACTGGCTATACTTTTTGTGCCCAAAAAGGTTCAAGAGCTCCACCTGCCGCCAACATGATTTTATCCCCACCAGGGTGCATGGCGACAAACTCAGTGATATCATAGACGCCGCCTCTGTAAGTGACCCACACGCCATCATCCAGAGAGCGGTGCTTTGTCACTTCCTCCTAGCTGAAGATGGGAAGACTGGAGGACTTCTCTGTGGTCTGCACTCTAACAGTGTCTGCCCACTCAGCCTGCACAGGAGAGGAGAGGCAACATCAGGGCTTCAGTTTCTCAAAAAAAAGACAAGTATGGTACATCTGTGACTGTTGGGTTTTTCGGTCACGACTGTAAATCAACTTTTTTGACAATTTTGCTGTGAGATGGATCCTTCTAAAACAGTTCTGTATTTTCAGCAATCTGAAGAGAAAACATCATAATCGGTTTCTTGAATTTCTCCAGACAAAACCTCCGGTGGCTTTTCTTCCCTCCTCATGATCAGTTCAAGATACGGTACCTCCACTTTGGAACAGCTGCCTGAAGGCTGTTGTGCACGTCTGGACTAAAAGGAAGTTTAATGTGGTTGAAGAAATCAGCAAACACATTTTAGAACAGCAGTCACATAGTGTCCTGCCAGTCAAATCATTGTTTATTTCATTCAGTAATTGAAGCATGGTTTGACCTGAAAACCTATAAAAGTCCTTCACATTCTCCTCTAGCGAGCAGTGTGATTTACATGCCCTGAGAAGAAGTGCAGGCTCAAACTTTGTAGTAACTAGAACCAAGAGATGTGAGCTTACATGATACCAATCACTGCTTTTATTTCACAATATTAATGCTAAGCTTTAAAGCCCTCGTAGTCTGGCATCTGATCCTTCCAGAACTGTGGACAATGAGAGCATCACCCTGCAAAAGTAAGGGCAAGTGAAACTTTTCTGAGTTCAAGGCCTTAGGAACAATCTGCCAGAGGACACTCTCTTCCTCTTAACTGATTCACCATCTTTTTAAATAATTTCTGAACTCATGGATTTAGTACAAAGTAAACCATATGCTAAAAACGGTTAAACTTTAGATTCACCCGGTTCTTTTATCTGAAGGCCCCAAGACGTAACACTCAGGAAACAAGAATCAGCTTTATGTAGATTTATTTTCTTCTGGTTAAATGCAGAGTTATTACAGCGCTGAGCTCTGAGAGATGACAAGTCTCCAAGAGCCTCGATAATCAAAAATCATTCACAGTTATCTTCTCGGGCTGGGACTGCCCTGTACATGGGTGGTACGTTGCATGTCAGTATTCTAGAATGTTCATATAGGCAGTATGTGTGTGTGTGTGTGTATGTTGTTATCTTCTATTTTCAGGCGTTTCTTTCCAACTGAAAATGGACATGCAGTTAGCTGTGTCACTTACTTCCCTGATTCTGTTGTAAAAATGTCTCAAAACTGAATATTATAACTATAATGCATGCATAAGAGCCAGGTTAATACTGATACATGGAGCTGCTAATGAAACACAGACAAATAGTCATACTGAACTTTTCCATTATAAAAGCAAAATAATACTGATGATAAGTAGAAAAATAACTTTAACTCCTGAAATCCAATCCTAACAAAACCTACGTCTTAAAATGAACAATGTAGATGGTTATATGAGTCACATTGCAGACTGTACCTTTCTTAGTTTGCAAACACTTAAATGTTTCAGCTTAATATTGAAATCGAGCTGCTTACAGTATGAGTTAATAAATCTTTGGGTCAATTACACAGTTATAATTCATTTTTGTACTCTGTATGCTGTACATATATCATTAGCTTTGTAGTAATTTATAAGCTCAGAATATGTCTAGTGTACTGGCTTTGAGTACTGTTACTTTAAGTGAGCCGGACGGCAGCAGATTCCTTAAGTAGTTGTATAGTTGTGGGGGGATACGGTTTTTTGTTACTGTGGTCAGTGGAACTATGTTTGTTATTTTATTAACTTGTGAAATGCACTTAATAAAATTAAATGTTTTATTTAGATACTAGAGTGGATGATTCAGGCAACTGGACATGAGTAATCAGGTCTTCACATTAGCAAGAAAACCGTTTGAACGCAGATTACAGGCATGGATTAACTGTTAGTGGAGTGACTCCACTAACAGAGTGATATGGGTGGGCTACTCTGGGAAAGAGAAGCATTTTGGCGGCGGAGCTGTAAAGACAGGTCCCAGAGAGAACCAGAAAAAGGCCCAGGAAACACAGGTCATTAAAGTAGTGGTGTGCGATACCACAAAATTTGGTATTGATCCAATACCAAGTAAATACAGGGCCAGTATTGGCGATACCGATACCTTTTTACTTAGAAAAACAGCTTAACTGCTTTTATGTAGCGCAGAGCAATGCTTCATAATTTATGAAGTGAATGCAATATGCAAATATGAATGAAAATTGAAAATTTGAATTTTCATGACCATTGAAAAATTTTGTGATTTCTGAATTTCAATTAGTTGATTGCGATTATGATCGTAATAAAACACAGGACAAAGATTTTATGCAAATAAAAAGTACTTTTTATTAACTAAGTTGAAATGTTTTAAATTAAAATTTTTAGAATTTTGTTCAGTAACAATATAACATTAAAATATGACAATATAACAAAATTACTTTATCAACAATATAACAATGTAACAGAAATTTGCTTGTATTACACACAATTGATTTTGAAAAATAAAGTCAATATTGCAAATTAAAAAGTGCAAATAACTACACAAAAGCAAAAACTACTATTGGCTCTCATTCACGACCTTCGGCTGAGGCCCCCTTTTGGTCCCTGTCCCCATGTTGAGGTAGGTTTATAGGTTTTTGTTCAGAAACAATAACATGTTTACATTTTTCCCTTTTATTTTACTTCTTCTCTGACTTACTAACTGCCCTGCCTTTGAGAAAATCTTTTCTGCAGGTACAGATGTTGCAATTACTCCCAGGTGTTTTTTGGCAAGCTTGCTCAGTGAGGGGAATGTTGCCTTATTTGTTTTCCACCAAAGAAGTGGGTCTCCATCTCATGGAATTGGCTTCTCTTCTGAGTACCAGCGCATTTCAATCAAGGCATCAGTGCCAGTTGTGTGATGCTACATTGATGCAAGGACTTGAGAGTCAAACTCAGTCCATATCCCAACTTTTGCTGCAGATGGGGATGGAGAAGCCCCTGCAGAGGAGCTTGATGTAGTCACAGGAGCCATTGCTGAAACAGAACTGGTGGCAGAGCTTGTGCTTGGTTCAGGAGCTGACACTGAAGGGACTGAGGTCTGGTTCACTAATTGCATGTCATTGATGTCATTTTTTCACAGCTTCAACATTTGCCATGTCACAGAACCCAAAGTTTTTAAATATTGTGTCCAGAAGTGGGTCTCCATCTCATAGAATTGGCTTGTCTTCTGAGTATCAGCGCATTTCAATCAAGGCATCAGTGCCAGCTGTGCAATGCTGCATTGATGTGAGGACTTGAGAGTCAAACTCAGTCCATATCCCAACTTTTACTGCAGGTGGGGATGGAGAAGCCCCTGCAGAGGAGCTCGAGGTAGTCGCAGGAGCCATTGCTGAGACAAAGCTTGTGCTTGGTTTAGGACCTGAAACTGAAGAGACTGACGTCTGGTTTGCTAATTGCATGTCATTGATGAGTTGTTTTTTCACAGCTTCAACATTTGCCATGTCACGGAACCCAAAGTTTTTAAATCTTGTGTTCAGGTATGTGCTGACAGCAAAACCATAAAAGGTTTCAATACCTCTGAAACGGTGCTGGCACTGTGCTGACAGCTCAGCAGCTAGCTTGCTGCCTTGGCAGTCATGAGATGCAATTGATCTCAGAAGCAGTGTAACAAGAGGAATCACTTGTGAAACTGAAACATGTTTTTCAGTTGATATCTCTTGTTACTTCTTCAAATGGTCTCAGGGCATCAATGGAGAGATGGACCGATCTTCCTCACTCAAGCACAGTGAGCTCTTTTCAAGAAGACAAAGTACTGTAGTAACAGCTTCCTTTTGCTCTTGTAGTCTGTCGAACATGTAGAGCACAGAGTTCCACCTTGTTTCAGCTGATTGTATCAGTTTGTGTTCTGGAAACCTCAGTTGTTTCTGAATTTCTTTGAGCTTTTCTGTTGCATTTGTACTGTGGTGAAAGAAAGCTATAATAGCACCGCATCTCTGCTGGATGTCAAGAAGATCAGGGAGAGCCTTAATGGAGTCTTTAACTACTAAATTTAAGGTGTGTGCAAAACATGGATAATGTGCCCAACCTGCTTTGCGCACAGCAGCAACCATATTGGCACCATTATCTGTGACTACAGCCTGAATTTAGGCAGTTATACCCCATTCATCAGTGATTCTTTTTAATTCTGAGCAAATGTTGTCAGCATTGTGTTTTTCTGAAAAACTACAGGTTTCCAGGACATATGCTTGCATTTGCAAGTTCTTATCAATGATATGGCATGAGACAGTTAAATAAGCCTCTGTGGCTCTTGATGTCCCCATATACATTGTGAGTGCCGCATCCAGAGATTTTTTTTTACTTTTGAGCGACACTCTTCGTACAGTACTGGTATTTTACCTTCCATTAACTGTTTCCTACTTGGAAGCTTGTACCCATGGTCAAGGGTCTTTACAAAATTTATAAAACGTTCATCATCAACCACAGAGAGAGGCTGTAGGTCCTTCACAATCATCTCTGCAAGGCTCCTTGTGATAGCCAAGGCTCTTGGGGAATCACCTAGGGGAAATAACAAAATAATTAACTCTATAACCCATCTGCATGTAGCCTAAATATAGGAATGCTAATGTTCCTTTTACAGTTAAC